CCGTCTTATTCCTCTGCAGTTCTAAGGCGTCTTTTATCCACGGCGCCTCGTTGTCCGTCGACGGAGGCTACGTTATCAACTAAGGCCGAGCCTCATTGACTCCCTTGGTGTAGCCTGTTGAATAGTAAGAATGAGGATGAACGAGAGAAATAGATAGATGGGAACAGGAAAATTGCCTATAGAGAAGATTGGCCATGAAGAAGCCAGTTGAAGAGAAGCCTGGCGAACAAATTGAGATCGGAAAATAGACCTCACTGTTTCGAGCCCTTCGACAGAAAGTCGCAATGGCAATTTATCAATACAGTCACTTGTGTCGATCCAGAGTGAACTCATGGCGCTCATCTTGCCATTGCTCGGGGCTGTGTTGTCTAAGTCCTGGGAGAATCGTAGTCGAAGTAAGGGCGAAATGTAGTGCGCGTAATGTTGCAGTCTTGGCAGAAAATCACTAAAGTCAAAATAACAAAGTCTCCGAAATGTTTTCTTCTTGTTGCGCAACGTTCGGGCGGTGATCTTCTCACGGTATTTATCCTAGTATTAGAATAGAAAGACTAGCGCAATACGACGCCAGTCAAAGTACCCGAAAAGTCTCCATGATCTACACTCTCACTATACTATATGTAAGACGCCTTTCGCTCGCTACATTGGAATAACAATCTAGAGCAGTCCAGATGAAAGTCCAATCCAGAATAACCATCGCTAACAATGACATCTATAACACCAACAATCCTCATCGTCGGCGCAACCGGCCAGACGGGAAGCGCAACAATCGCAGCCCTCGCCTCAACCCCCAACCCGCCCCAAATCCTCGCCCTCACCCGCTCCCCATCCTCTCCCAAATCACAAGCCCTCCTCAAACTATTCACAGATCGTCAATCATCAGTATCCTCTTCAACAATAACACCGACATCATCACCAATAACCCTCATCCAAGGCACACCCGAAAACCCGACCCCCATCTTCGCCTCCCACCCAGACATATCCGCCCTCTACCTCGTAACCGTCCCACCCGGAGACGAAGCGCAAGCCATACCCCTCATCGACGCAGCAATCGCCCACAAGATACCGCACATCGTCTTCTCGAGCGTCGACCGCGGGGGCGACGAGCGCTCGTGGACGAACCCGACGCCCGTGCCGCACTTTGCGGCCAAGCACCGCGTCGAGGTCTACCTCCGCGACAAGACGCGCGGCACGCAGACCAGGTGGACGATCTTGAGGCCGGCCGGGTTCATGGATAATTACCGTGCTGAGGCGGGGGTTATGGGCTCCGTCATGGGCGGGCTGTGGGCGACGATGCCGGCGGGTGGGAGGAAGATGCAGCTTGTTAGCGCGAGGGATATCGGGCTCTTTGCGGCTCGGGCGCTGATAGAAGGTCCTGGTACTGAGGATGAAGGAGGAGGATGGGGTGGTAGGGCGCTGGGGCTCGCTGGTGATGAGATCGGTTTCGACGAGGCGGAGGAGGTATTTGAGAGGGTTGTGGGGCAGAGGATGCCGAGGACGTGGGGGGTTGTCGGTCGGGGCGTGAGGTGGGCCTTTGAGGATGCCGGGAGGAGTATGGAGTGGTTTGAGGAGGAAGGGTATAAGGCTGATGTTGCGATGTTGAGGGGCATGGAGCCGAGGTTGCAGACCTGGGAGACGTGGTTGAGAGAGAGTAGTGGGTGGGTGAAGGATGATGAGGAGTGAAAAGGGGGTTCAGAGAGGCTCAATGCAGTTCAGCGATGATGTTTGATACCATTTTCTAGGGGTCTAAAGAGCGCCGAAGACTATAGATTTCCATATATGTCAGATCTCTGCTTGAATTGTACATGATCCTTAAGTAAACATGAGGGACGGGCTGAAAAGGGATGCCTGTTCTAGCTATAGCTCTGTACGTCGCCTCTTTCCTAATCACAGGTCATGGTAGGTTCTGAGATGGAAAGTGTACGCGAGCCCAATCCACTGCGAGGGACGCCCCGGAATACCTGCAGGATACCCGCGAGGCTCTATAGCCGATGAATCATCGCCAGCTCCCAACAACAAGTACCTGGGCCGTATGGTCGAGGGGTTCATCGGGCTGCAGAGGCCCCGGTTAGACAGTGAAGACTCCTGTCTATTTCGGGATCCAAGTTCGATTCCTCGATCGGTCGGACCATTGTTGTTTTTTGTGTTTTTCTTTTTCTCTCTGTAAGAAAACCAATAGAAGGCATGCTTTCCTAGGCAAAAAGGGGGTATCATTACTAAATCAAAACGCTATGAGTGAGTCGAATCCCATCTCTTCTTCTTTTTTACTTTTTGTCCTCCGGGGCAAATTCTCACGAAGACGGGCCAGGCGTCGTAGCCGGCGTCGCAATCTTGCTCTTCTTCCTCTTCGGCTTCGGTCCGTTGGGCGTCTTGGGACTCTTGCCCTCCTTACCCTCCTTCTTGGCCTCCTCCGCCAACTTAGTATTAATCACCGGCTTGGGCTGTGCCGACGATGGCGGAGGCGGCGGCGCAATCTTGTCCTTGCGCCCCGTGCTTGCAAAGTGGAAGTCGCCGGGCCTGCCCGTGATCGGGTTCTCGTCAAAGTAGTCGCCGCCGTGGCGCATATGGATCGCAAAGGACTCCTCCGCCAGCCTGTCCAACGCGTTGGCCGTCGAGTCCTTTTTGCTGTTGCTGCCTGTTTTGCCGCCCGCCGAGGTCTTGCTGCCGTTCGTTGCGCCTTCGGCGGCGGGTGTGTCTGCTGCTGCCGCTGCCGCTCCATCTTTCGCGCGGGCGAGGGCTGAGGGGGGCGTCGGTTGGGTGTAGACGTGGCCTAGGGAGGGCGTCCACTTGCGTACGCTGTCGGCCGCGGGAAGAACCTTTCTCATTGATTCGGCAATTGATTCCTAGCATTGTGTCAGACTCCATCATCCTTCAAGAAGAATGCTATCTCTCGTGGGAGAGAGGGAGGGAAGTGGGGACTTACAATCCTCGAACTGAGAAGATCGCCCAGCGTCGGCGCCTGATAGATATTCTCGCCGACGACAAAGTAATACGCCAATGGCTTCGTCTCCATGCGCCCGCGGTCGAGGTTCTTCTGCCTCGTCTGCTTCACAATCGTCCACACGCCCGTGCCCATGACCATGTCGGCGGGCGCGTGCAGGACCCTGAACTCGAGGCCGGCCATCTTGTCGAGCTCGCTCTCGAACGCCTCGCGCGTGGCGAGGTTCTTGAGTAAGGCCGGGTTGAACATGGCCTGGTTCGTGATGACGGCGTTGTTGGACTGGCGGTCGAAAAAGGGCGACTCGGCAAAGTAGAAGAGCACGCTGTTGGAGTGGATGCCCTGCATCGAGGCCGCGATATCGGGGGCGCGCCATTGGATCTCGTCCAGGGGCGGGTCGTTTGGGTTGGCCATTGTGGAGGGGGGGATTTGGTCGTTGGAGGAAGGTATGTCGAATGAGTTGTTGACGAGTCGTTTTGTGCTGGGTATGCGTGGGTGACGTTCGGAGGGCGGATTGCGGAGCTTTTTGAGCCGGAGTGGAAGCTCTCCAACTTTTGTATCGTGGGGCCGGAGCTTGTTCGACTGCAGGGGCTGAATCGACAGGGGTTTTTTGCCCGGGGGGTGGTGGGGGAGCGTGTCATCACGTGATAGTCCTGCCTGCCGACCATCTTCAAGCTTCAAGACCTTCAATTTGAATGGAGCCTCTCCAACGACGACCATTGTCAAACCTAACACCATCAAATACCATTAATACTCAACGGAAATCCCTTACCAAAAATTTCATCACGAGAAAATCAAAGCACCGCTACCCAAATCAAGAACTCAAAGCAAATCGAAACCGCCCCCGAAAATGGACCTCCTCTCGAGCGTCCGCAAATCCGGCTCCCGCGGCGGCGTCAACTTCAGCTGGGACGAAGTCGCCAACTCCTCCCACCGCGAAAACTACCTCGGCCACAGCCTCAAAGCCCCCGTCGGCCGCTGGCAAAAGGGCCGCGATCTCAACTGGTACGCCAAGGGCGACGGCGACGACGCAGGAGCGGTCGAAGGCGAGACGGAACAAGAGAGGCAGGAGCGCGCGCGCAAGGAGGAGCTGCGCAAGATCAAAGAGGCCGAGGAGGATGCGCTCGCGCGCGCGCTGGGATTACCTGTGCCGCAGCGGGATTCGTCCGGCGCGAATGCCGTTGAGGTGAGCGGGGCAAGGGGGATCGGTGGTGCTGGTGCTGGTGCTGGTGATGCGAAGCCTGTAGAGGAGGAAGGGGCCAAGGGCGGGCTCGTTGTCAGTGAGAAGAGAGAGCGCAGGGATCGGGATGAGGATAGGCAGAGAAGGCGGAGGCGGAGTCGGAGTCGTAGCCCCCGGCGAGAGAGGAGGAGGGATGGCGAGAGGAGGCGGAGTCGGGAAAGGGACATGGATCGCGGGGAGGAGAGGCACCGCCATCGCCGTGGTGAAGGACGGGAACACGGTGGTCGAGAACGCAGGGATCGCGACCGTGATGAGGGACGGGAGAGGCGGCATCATCGTAGGGCGAGAAGCCGGAGCCGTGAGGGTGGTGAGCGAGAGCGCGGGCCGAGAGAGCATCGACGGCGGAGCAGGAGCAGAGAGGGTCAGCGGCCGCGGTCGAGCGACCGCCGACGAAGTCCGGATGAGCGCCGTCGATAAAGGTCGGTAGACTGGTGAGCGTGGTGAGACCGAAGAGACAGAACAATGATACCCACGTCGCTTCTGTTGCGCAAAGAAGCACATTATACAGTTTACAAGAACATACACTCTCAAAATAGCGTTAAACGAGAACCAGCAAGCAACTTGTGCCTGGTCATTTGGATAACATACACAATGTCACCATATGCAAATCCATAGCCCGTTATGGCTTGGTAGAGACCCTTTAACTAGTGACTTTGCGAAGATAGAATCCCAGTATCGGCCTCATCTTCAAACTGGTCTGCACCCAGCCACTGGGGCTCACATAAACGCCGACATCTACCTCAGTGCTCCTGCTTTTCATAAACCTGAACGCCGGTCCCAAATTACTACAGTACCCTCCTTGACAGTTCGAAAACGCAAAACAGCTCATGCGCTGAACGATGTTACGTAGTACTGTGAGTAGTCAGCCAGTGTTCTCCCCTAAGCGCATGCAAGGGATCTCTTACGGTCAGTACGGCGTCGTCTGCCGTGGCATCGTCATACTGCGGCACGTAAACATACAGAATCAAAGCATGGTCGTCTGCGAATGCAGCAACGACTCTCCCCTCGAGCCGCCCTACACTCAACACCCGGCTCCAGTCCTTGCCATCTACCCGCACCGTTGCCCACTTCTCCGGGCCACCCTCCTTAAACTTGACGCTTGGGTGCTCTTCAACGGGCATCTCCAGCTGCGTGGGGTCCAACTCCGGATTGACGAGTCCCGACCATGTACTCGAGACGTCGACGGCCTCGGTGGCGATCCGCAGCTTCAGGTTGCCAAACATGTTGGCGCTAAGCTCCAGCTTGGGGCTCACGCGGGAGTTTGTGCCGGACGAGAGCGCGAGCTTGGTGAAGCGGTCCGAGATGGCCTTGAGCTGGAGCAGAGGCGGCATGGTGATGTGCACGTCTGTCTCGCGCACCGTGGGCTGCATGATTGTCTCTACCGTCTCTGGATGCAGCACCCGGACGGGAATGTCCTGGGTGATGATCTTCTCGCGCTCGCGGCGCAGAGACGTCTCTAGATGCTCAGCGGCGAACCCCTGGTCGTCCTCGTCAAAAGGATCATTTTCAAGACCGGCGTAGGCGGCGTTGCGGCCTGGGAGACCTGACCCCGAGGAGGCGTTCGTCGTGGTCGTGATGGTCATGGACAGTACGGGGACTCCATCCTTCTTGGTGAGACGCAACGAGGCAGAGGTGCTGTTGAGCGCAGAACGTAGGGCACGTTGGAGAGGTTGCAGTGGTAGCTCAAGGTTGATGGTGTTGTGGTCTTCGGCCGATTGGATGTGGTAGCTGTCAAAGATGAAGTCCATGGGTAGAGAACTGGAGCCATGATTCAGCAACCATAGCTTCTCAAGACGCTACCAGAGTCAGAGTGCAGCAATCTTACGACCAGACTTGAGAACCCGTGTCGGGAATGACGGTGAATCGTGCCGTTTCATCGTCTAGGCGAACCCATGCGATCTTCTCGAGCGAGTTGAGGGCAGCTGTGAGCTCTGTAAAGCAAAGGAAACGGCCAGAGAGTCAACAAGGGAACCCGAGGTTGCAGCAAAGCCGGCCGGCCGGCAAGCAGGTAGGCAGGCTTGGGGTGTTGTGGGTTCAAACGCACTGGAAAAGGTACGGATGTTCTTGAGCTCCGTTTTGAATCGCATTTTCGAAATCTCGATCTCTCAGCGAAGTGGCCGTCCGTCCGTCCTAAATAAAAACCTTATAGGTACAGGGAGTCACACAAACAGAAAGAAACACCCGGCTGCAGTTGACTGATGAAAGGATATTGGGTACGGGCGGAGAGGTATGGGGGGGGGAGCTGATTACCTCTTTTGGTGTAGACGCGTAAAGTGGACAGAGAAACGACGCGATCTTGCCTTTCAGAGGTGCGTTGCAGTGTGCGGTACGCCGCCGTGCGTGGTGCTACCACTGGCAGGGAGAAGGCACCGAGCAAAGGTGGTCCATGCCTGCCAATGCCTGCCGCCACGCTGCACTGCAGGCGCTGCCAGCAAGATGGTCTGCAGAAATCGGCACGGGAGTCTTTAGCGCGGGGCATCCACCCCTGCCTAGCGTGTCCACATTGGGAGACCTCACCCCATTCACAGTTCGCGCCTACCCCGCCATCACCTGAGGTCCCCGGGGATGCGCAGAAGAAGGGAGAGAGGGTGAGACCGCTTTGGAGGGCCGGCCAGTTGGATAATGTCCCGACAGGCTTCACTTTCCCCCCTTTCGCTTCTTGATTCAAGATCTCTGGGAATATGGTGGATGCTATGGACGTCAGAGGGTGTATTGAGTCTCCCAGAGTGACGTCGACAGGTGTGGAGTGAAGCCTAGGTGGTTGGTGATTTTGCATCACCGTGAAGCAGTCCATGTCGGTCGAGAAAGGCTGGCTTCTAGATAGCCTTGAGGTTTCATTTCCAATACCCTATGAGAAAATAATTGTGTTCAAGATTGTTGTGAAAAGCTCGAAATTCGTTACAGGTATCTGGACAAATGAGATCCGTCACCTATACCATCTGCTGTCTTATAACAAGACTGATGAGGCTTCGCCCAAGTCATGATGCTCCCATCAAACTATTGTGTAGAGACCTGGCTTGGTTATCATAATGCCAGTCCTACCAGCCGCTATGGTGCCATAGTCTACCGGCCTTTAGAAGCCACCGCCGTGCATTCCTATCCCTTGTGCATTCATCGTTGTGTACGCCGGCGGTGTCAAGCCGAACTTCCCAGCACTAGAGAAGTCGCCATGTCTCTGCTTAGGTAGGCCCCGCGACGTTGGTATCTCCGGTCTCACCAAGAGACGGAAACCACACCCACTGGTGTTATTTCTTTGGCGATTTCGATCCAGAAGCTTTCCGATCTTCTTGGATAAAATGTTCGGTCCACTTCCTCCTCCATACTTCACGATCCTCCCAAGGCTCTTTTGTTGGTGTTTCTTCCTGTTCCTTGGGCACCTCTTGAGGAATGGACGCCATGTTGTGATCGAGCGAGTGGATGAGGGAGTTGAGCCGCGGTAGAAGCTGACCGCGAAAATATTTAGATGTTTTGCGAGTACGTTGTAGTTGCGTGTGACATATTTCGCACGGCATCCAGCCCCAGTACATGTAATTGCGCGTCGCCTTTGTCGTCGGCACCACGGGATGTCCACAGTCGCACCGCATGCTCACCCTACACCAAGGGCAGTGCGGCTCATCGACGCTGGCGACGCCGAGCCAGTGTTGTATGCAGTCGCCGCCAAAGCGGTGGCCGCAGGGGAGATATCGCCAGACCTCCTTGTCGCCCTCCTCCTTAGCCTCGCCTACTTTTTCGTAACATATTGCGCAGCAGGTGTCGTCGGCAGCGGGATTCGAAGCCATCTCCTGCTTCCGCATAACAGATTTGAAAATGTTCATCGTCTCCAGCGGGAAAGGGACATGAGATTCGCTATAAGACCCAGCGTCGGAAACAAGAAAACTTGCTAGAGGAAAACGAGTCCCGGACTAACCGAAGCCTTTGTTGCTAGACCAAACGGCGGTCGAACAGTGATGAACAAAGACGATGAGGAACATAACAAAGAAGGGAAAAAGAATACAAACACCCGGACAGGAAGAGCCACTGACTTTAGGAAAGCTAATCGTGCCTTGCAGATGGATGGCTCGACATTGACCTCCGCCGTTGGACCGTTCCGGATCCTCTGCCGGGTCAGCCATGTCTTTCTCAGGAAAAAAGGCATGGTGCACGGAGCCATACCTTGAGTACAAGGTGTGCCGCCGACTCGCTGGGCTATGCTTGACATGTGCGCTGGCGGCATTTAGTCTTGGTCTGACCTTTCTGGGAAACATGGAGCATTGGCTGGAGAGCGTGTGACGCTTGACGCTTGTCAGAAGGAATGCGTGCCCCTCTTCCCAGTCCTCCAGGAGGAGGAACCATTTCGGTGCTGCTGACCTCCACCAACTTCATCCCACTCCTTACCACATTAAACAAGAGTAAGATGCCATGCTGAGGAGGGGCAGAAGAAGAAAAAGAAATAAGGATAGAAGAGCCGCCGTCTCCGATAGCGAAAGAGAGAAACATGACAGGCCAAGCTAGGTAAGGTGCAGAAACCTGCAGGATGGAAACACCGGGCGCCTGAGCGGTGCTTGTTTCGGACATGTGGTTGCGCCTGACCCCAACTCAGACCAAACAGAGCAGAGATGGAGCGAGACAGTCAACCAAAGTGAGGCAGGTTGGCAGGCGGCATAAGGTTCAGCTGATGTTGATTTCAGCATTGAAATGAATGCAGTTTTAGCCACCCCTTATCGCCACTTGATTCCCACGTTTGCCGAATGCCTGCCTTAGTAATGCGGAACCAGAACTTGAACTTGGATGGGTGCGAAGTACGAGATCTGGGTCGCTTGACATGGCAGACTTTCCTGGAACAAGCGATTGCCGAGAGAGACATCGCGGGCTTAGCCTCTTGGTGACAGGCTGACTAGATCGGCCAACTCGGCCGAAGGCTTACCAGTTCGCGTGCCCATGTTCATCCACCACCTACATTGCATGCAGGCGGAAGAAAATGGGGTTTTATGCGGCAGCAAGGCATACGTATGATGGAAAGGCAAGGCGAATATTCAGCTGAGTGTCCTCGTGGCCGATAACGAGGCTAGGCATCCGGTACATGGAAGCGAGGCTGAAGTGCGTATTAGATTGATGACTACCGCCTATTACCAGCTCCATCATCTTCATCGTCACTGTCATCTCTAAAGCCCTCTTCCAGGCTGGCACAGAGACACATGTGTTAGTTACGAGGCCAGGCGACAGAAAGAATAGAATACGAAGGCGGGGAGCATTGCTCGACTTACTCTCGGCTCAAGCGCCTCGTGCTGTCATGCCTGTCTCGCCGAGTATCTTCTGTCAGAGCTCTCCGGGTATCTTCACCAACCTCCCCAAGCTCCTCGCCATCTTCTGACGAATAACCGTCTTCGGAAGCGTCGGTCGCGATGACGAGTCGTTCATGAGCATTCCGCCGCCAGGTTGACGGGACCATCATCCTTGCAATCGCATTTTGCACGCGGTGTCGTAATGACACAGTCGAGGTCGATATGGTATCGAGAGGTAGATATTGGCTATAACGACTGCGCCATCTGCGCCAGAGCGGCAGGGCAACGTAGGTCGAAACGAGGAAAAGAATGAGCGAGATGATGGCAGGCACGATCAAGGTCTAGACATATGACGACAAAAGATTAGCTCAGGAGATATATCGGGAGAAAATCGCGGAGAGAGATAGAAGCTTGATTGCAGCAGGATGAAAGCGTACCTTAATGACTGACATCGTGGTGCCCATGGTGGGCCTGGCGGTGATGTCGCGTAAATATTTGTCGACCTTGCGTCCTTGTGGGAAAGAGTTCCCGGGATTACAATGTTGAGCTGAATGATGACAAGGCTACGATTATCAGCAAGCTTGGCTGAGAACTGCCGCCGGCGAGCGCGGACGGAGCCAGGCTAAAGCCAAAAGAGGCGGTCCTGTCAAGCTGTCTGCCCAGGTGGTGTTGACGTGACACGGAGCAAAGCAGCAGAGCAACCCAGTGGAGGTTGACAGGCATACGCAATCAAGAAGCCACTTGGCCCCGGCCGGCGCCAGGCATGGCAGCTGGGTGCTCCATACCTAGGTACGGATGGAGGACACAAGCTAACCTTGATGGGCCCACTACAAAAGCTGTCGATTGCGCGCATCCTGCTAGAAAGTGGTCGGACAAGTACCTTCCCTACCTTAGGTACCTTACCTGCCCGTACCTGACACTGACAGAGGCGCTTTCGATAGTTCCGTTCGCGAACGCCTTTTAGCATGCAACGAGCGGATGTGTCGCGAGTGACTAGGTACTGGCTTTTACTATGATATCTCTTTGGGCGCGATACTGTCGTATTTCTCCTCAGTACATACCTACAGGCTACAGACGTTGATGAGTTTTAATAATATGTATCCGTATTCTGTTCCTTACTTACCTAAGTTGGCAGGTGAGGTCCATTGTTCAAAAGGTCGAGTCGCGGGACTGACTTGAGCGCGGACTCCCCGGGACCCTTATCTGACATACTCAAGCGAGAGCCGAAGATAAGACACCTCGAGAAATGGGACCATTCAGGACCACGGTGCCACTGTGGGATTGCCGTTGATGTTTCTATTCCTGCATCAACAAAGCAACGCTTAGTGAAAATGCCAGTCTCGTACGATATCGACAGGCAATCCGCAAACGAGCCTCAGGAGCAAATGCCCAAAGTTTGCTCTATTGCCCTGTTACCAGGTAGTATAAGCAGACAGGTCGTTGTAACACGGGAATAGTCGAGGCTCCCGAGATTTTTGATCAAATATCGCTTACGGTGCTGGGCCTCAATGGTGGACCGCCCGGGACGATGCCTTGTCACCCCACCGCCACCTTTCCATGTGGAGGTACATGGTTCGAGAGGGCTCTCTGGCTCAAAACGGACAGACAGGGCAAGCATTGTAATTGGGCCTCAGGGTTCTTGTCGCCATCTTTAGCATCAGCACCACCGTAACGGAGGGTCTGCGGAAGGGTTAGGGGAGCCTGGGGACTCGGGGAGGGACCAGCCCGCCCATACTTTAGGAACCCGCCCAATGAGGGGGGTCCATTAGGCCTTTGTATGGACAGTCTAGAGATCCCTCACAGGGAGAGGGCGAGTGTTGGCTCTT